CCCAGCAGACCAGGCTTTTGTTGCGGGACGCCTCGGGTAGAGCAGCTGGGGTGCTGCTGGGTTGGTCCTGTGGGAACCTACCGGGCAGCGCCCCAGCTGTTCTGTCCCAGGCTCCAGATTCAGCAGCTGTTGAAACTGATCAGGCTGATTCCAGGAAGCTGGGGGCAGAGCAACTCTGCCTCAGGCTTCCTGTAGTCAGCCCCTGGTCAGTTTCAGTGGCAGAAGCTGAATCTGGAGCCAGTTCCGACTTACTTAAATTCAACTTAAGAACAAACCTATAGTCCCTATCTTGTACGTAACCCGGGGACTGCCTGTATAGCGTTAGAATCTCTGGTCCCTTTCCTTTGTGCTCCTCTTTCAAGGGAGCATGTCAAGGAAATGCTCATGGCTTGTCTACATATCCCGCTCTGCTGTAATGCTTGGGGAGAATGCTTCTTATGACTGAAGCACTTCTCCTGTCATTGTAGGTACTCCGCCTCCCCAACAGATGCTGGCTGTGACTATAGGAGAATTTCTCCCATAGATGTAACACCGTCTACACTAGGGATGTGAAAATGTAACTGTGGACATGTTTAACCAATGAGCCTGCGCTCATTGATTATCCTTCACGGTTACACACAGGCTCCCAGTACATGCGGGGAGCTGCCTGCCTGCCTCCCCTCCCCTTCACTGCTGCCTTTGTATCCGAGGCAGCAGTGCAGAGGGAGGCTGGGGGAGAAGGGGGAGGCGGGAGCTGCCTGCCCTCCCTACCCCCTGCGTATAACTACTGACATTTTCAGCGGTTACACATTTACTGGGTTAAATGCATTTTAACATTCCTTAGGTCAGTTTGTGTCGCTTGGGGGCGGGGAGGGGAGGGAATTTTCCACATCCCTGAGCTATGTAGTTCTGCTGACAGAAATCTGTAGTGTAAACCAAGTCTCACGCTCCCCCAAAGTACAGTCTTTGGTAAGTCCTAGAACGGGACCAGCTGCCCTGTGCTAACTTCCCTTGTTTGTGGAGGAGCCATTCATGGTGATTGACAGTATCACTCTACAGACAGTCTGCTGTTCCTTTCCTATGACTCTGAATTCCTTGGTTTGCAGCTTTCATTGCTGCTGAATGCAAACCGGCAGCTTGTGTATCTCTCTCAAAGATGATGATGCAAGTGTCATGGTTGCCATCTTGCCACATGCATAAAGTGAGAGTTCCCAAACTGGGCGGTGTGAAGAAATTCCGGGGGGGGCGGAGGGGAGCAAGACGATCCAGCCCACCCCCCTTCTCAACAAGTTTTGCTGGGGGTGGGAGGGGAGCATGAGAGTTAATCAAAAAGGGGGCGTGATGCCAAAAAGTTTGGGAACCACTGCATTAGAGATTGAACCGAGGACCTCCACAGCTAAAGCAGGAGCTGCTACAACTTGAAATAAATAGTATGGGGCTGTAATAGGTATGGAGGAAAACTTCTGGCAGCTGTCCTCCACTGGGTTACCTAAGTATGAGGGTCCTGTGTATTTATTTTTTTCATGTGTTAACTTGTGTACAAACGAGGTGTAGCTCTCTGGCTCCTGACAGGGTGTCTCTAATGTGGCTTTGTCACCCTATGCTGAGGTGCTCCCAGTTCAAGGCTTGGCATATCTCATGTCATCTCTGACTCCATTCTTCTCTCTCCCCCACCACCGCAGGCTCGGGCCCAAGCGGAGGCCCTACATATTGGGGATGTACACTTCTCTGTCAAGCCTGGCTCTAGCACTTCGTCACCCAAGCTGCATTCCAGCGCTGCAGTGCATCGGCTCAAGAAAGACATCCGTCGATGCCATCGCATGTCCCGACGCCCTCTTCCCCGCCCAGACCCCCAGAATGGCGGGGGTGTGGGTGGGGGGGCTGGCATACGTCCTCCAGTGTCACCTTTCTCGGAGACCGTCCGCATCATCAACCGCAAGGTGAAGCCTCGTGAGCCCAAACGCAGCCGCATCATCCTCAACCTGAAGGTCATTGACAAGGGTGGAAAGGCTGCGAGTGGGGGAGGGGGCCTGGCCCGGCCAAAGGTCCCCTCACGAAACCGCGTCATCGGCAAGAGTAAGAAGTTCAGCGAGAGCATCCTCCGCACCCAGATACGCCACATGAAGTTCGGCAACTTCTCGCTGTACAATAAGCCGTCCACTGCACCAGCCACGTCTCTGGAGGGCAAGATGGAGGCAGGGGGCTCACAAGGTGCCTCCTGTGGGTTGATCATGGGCTCCACCCCCTACGATGCCCACAGCTCCAGCTCCTCTGGCTGTCCCTCCCCTACCCCTCACTCCTCCTCCGACCCAGACGATTCTCCCCCAAAGCTGCTCCCCGAGACCCTAAGCCCTGCCATTCCTGACTGGCGTGAGTCGGAGGTCCTTGACCTGTCGATCCCACCAGAATCAGCAGCCACCAGCAAGCGCTCTCCCCCTGGGGGATGTGCTGGGGGCCAGACGCCCTCATCATCCCTCTCCTCTTCTGACCCGGAGCAGGAGGCTGGCGACTGGCGCCCTGAGATGTCCCCCTGCTCCAATGTGGTAGTCACAGATGTCACTAGCAACCTCCTGACTGTCACCATCAAGGAGTTCTGCAATGCAGAGGATTTTGAGAAGGTGGCAGTGGGAGGGGGAGGAGGAGGAGGAGGTGGTGGCAGCAAGTGAGAAGCTGGATCTCTGCTTCGGGGGGTGGGGGAGGCTCTGCTGCAAGAAGTCATGGTGTGAATGGCTGTTGTTAGTTTTCTCCTGCTCTCCCCCCTTCCCTGGTTCTTTTTCTTTCTGCTCAGAGACTGGGGTGGGAGTTGGAGGGCAGAGGTGTCTGAAGTTCACAGATGTCAGAGCTGTGAGGGGTTGAGCTGGAGGATGCTCATTTGTCTTCAAAGAACATAGTCTCAAGTCGGGGGTGGGGGACAGAGGTGTGTATGTTGGGGCTGGGTAGGGAAGGATTCCTCCCCCTCTCCATCATTTGTATAGGGGAGCTCTTGCTATTGGAGAGATGCATAAGGCATTTGAAAGGGGCTGTGCCCCCTCTACCTTCCCCCTCTGCTCTGCACTGTGTACACACTCTCTTCCAGTTCTTCACCTCACCTTCTTCCAGGGCAGCTTTGATCCTTTCCTCTCTCCATGGCATGGATTGGCTGTCTCTTACGATCCAGCTTCAGTAGCTCTGGCTGTATCTTTGGGAAAGGGACACTATCGAAGCAGGGAGAGATCAGAAGGTAAAGCATCAGGGCTAAAATGAGACTGCAATGGAGCTAGAGTAGGGGGTTGCACCCCTACAACACATGCCCCAGGCTCACTTCCTTCTTGCTTTTACTATTGGTGCTAACTTGGCAGTTGTATGGGCACTTTGAGACCACCTGAGCCCTTCCTCCTCCCTTCTGCACCTTCCCTTGCAGATCTTCCAGTCTGCTTAGTTTTGTTGGGCGTGTCACTTCCAGCCTAGATCTTCCTCCTTGTGTTCATCACATGCACTTGATTGGGTCTGAGGGCATGCCATACCCTTCCTAACCCTTTTCTTAGTGGAAGTGGGAAAGCCACCCATAAGTAAGTCAATTCAGGAGGAGCAGTGGCGTGGCATGACACTACCTCAGCAGGATGAGGTCAGCAGGTCTGTCTTACCTCCTAGGGAAAATAGAAGTCTTGGCTCCACTAAATCACTGCATGAGCCTTGTGTGTGGGAAGGAAGATTTGCTACTCTTCCTGCTCAGTTTGATCTCTCCAACCCACCCACCAGAAAGAGGGTTCTCCTCAGCTGTTTCCAGGATCTGAAATTGCCTCTACAATTGTCAACCAAAGGTGCTAAGAACCTGTTGTAAGAATTACTGTGTCTTCTATGGTTGTGTGTGTGTGTGCGCGCGTGTTTGCCTCTCTTCTCTTCCCCCCCCCCACCCCCCCCGCCCCCCCACCTCCAATTGGATCTGGAATCACCTCCATCCTCTAATTGGAAGTGGGCAATGATGTGGCTTCCTCTGCTTCCCTGAGACATGCTTTTAATATCTCAGATGCAAAAGCACTCTCCTTTGCCATCCATGGCTTGTTTGATTCTATGTCAGTGCTGAGCTTTGTGGCTAGATACCCATCCCTCGCTTCCCTACTCCTCTGTTGCCTAATATTGGATCTGGAATCACCTCCATCCTCTAATTGGAAGTGGGCAATGATGTGGCTTCCTCTGCTTCCCTGAGACATGCTTTTAATATCTCAGATGCAAAAGCACTCTCCTTTGCCATCCATGGCTTGTTTGATTCTATGTCAGTGCTGAGCTTTGTGGCTAGATACCCATCCCTCGCTTCCCTACTCCTCTGTTGCCTAATTTATGAAACACTGAGGGGTAGGGAAGCGGGGGTGATAAAATCAGTCTAAATTAGTGTTTCAATGAGTGTCTGCCTTGATTCCATTACCTTGGGATAGCGGGGTGTGTGAGAGGTATTATCTGTTGTGGGATCCATAATTATATGCTTACTATTGTGCACGAACTGGAGAGAGGTGCTCTCAGCTCTAAGGACTCTTCTTCTCACATGTGCGTACACACTACCACTAAAATAACTAAATTGTGTGGAATTCAAACCTTTTGCAGTTTTTGCTTGCAAGTACCCAGGATTTGAAGGGTATGTCTACATTACAAGCGCTACAGCTGCTGCTATGCCCTGTAACATAGACACTTGCTAGAGTGACAGGTGTTTTTCTGTCAGTGTAATAAAATCATCCTTCAAGAGGCGGTGCTTGGTCAACAGAATACTTCTACTGACCTAGCTTCTCCCACAGTAGGTGTTAAATTGACGTGGCAGAGGGCATAAGATTTTTCACTGCCCGTAACAATGTCGCTAATTTGATTTAATATTTAGGCGTAGACTAGCTTTAAAACTCACCTACTGCAAAATAAATGTCCACAGAGATTGGCATCAAAATTTTAAACAGATGCAAATTCAAACTAGTTTGGTTTCAGTATTGGTGTGGAGCCAATCTGAGAGATGATCCCACAACACACACTCCCACAGTCTGCCCGTCTTTTGTGGCTTTTTTTCAACAGAACTTTTGAATCCAGCAGAATATTTCAAAACCAGTTATATTGATAGGGGTGGGAGGGAGAGGTCTTCCCTATTCATTCACCAGTCCAACGCTTCCTGTAATTTGTTAGACGTACGCGTGTATGTGAATTAATACCTGCCTGTTGTCTTTGCTTTGTTTTGCATCTTTCCTTCCTTGCGCATGCAGGGTTCTCTTATTTCATGGTAACTTATTCAAATGGCTGCAGCTTCAAAAATAAGCAGATTGGGGAGAGATGGGAGCTCTGGGTTGGTAGAATAATGAGGAGACGTGTTAGAGGGACATTTTGAAAAAGGAATCAATGTATAAAGCTGCGAGATAAGAGGAACTATTTTACAGAGTAGATGCATGCCGGCCAGTCACTTTATTTTGGTTGCTTGGTTACTCTTGGCGTGTATGTGATGGCGTTCTTGTTTTGTGGTAATAAGTTCAGAAATATTTGAAAAGTTTAAGTGGAAGATAAAAGGGAACTTTAATAGGAAACTCTTGACATGTTTTAGCCAAGAAGTGTTCACTTGGCAGAGTTGTTCTCCTCCCCCCCCATGATATCGTGTTTAGTGTTCCTGGATTTTTCATAAATGAGGGGCTTTCACCTTCCTCTGGAGCACTGAGCTTATGGGCTTGGTGACCCTTCTTCCTGGGATTATAAAGATGGGAGAGGGGCACGGGGCTTTGGAGGAACTCATTGATCGTAGATCATCTCTCTGTAGGAAAGAAGTCAGGGGAAGTAGCTTGACTGCTTGTCACAACTCCTCTGGGTGGGTCTCCAGTGGGGAATGAACCATGAACCTCTGGATCTAAAACCGAGTCTCTCTTGCTTGATCTTAAAGACCAGGCAGTAGCAGCCTCATAAATCTCTTTGTGTGGTCCAGCCCCTAGAGGCTGACACAACCCCACACTGGTGTGAATGTGGGTTATTCTCACCTTCCATCTCAGATTTTTTTTTCCCTCCCTCCCTACTGAAAAGTAAAAGGGAGGTCCCGTCCATGATAGGGTTGGGGGGAGTATTCAGAAGCATTCTCCCCGACTAGGGATATAGTCTGTGTCTGTGCCATGTTTATTCTCTTGTAGTTGTGTTTTTAGAGGAGATTTTATGATGGAAAGTGGAAAAAGTGAAAAGAATAGTTTTGCAAAAAAAAAGAAGAAAAGAAAAAAGATAAGTTTTTAAAAAATGAAATTTCTATGGGGGAGAGAGTTTTAAAAATGAATAATAAATGCAGTGATTGCACAAACTGTAGTGGTATTAGATGGTTATTAGAGAAGAGAGTATTTTGTAGTGTTGAAGTGTCTGTCTAGGATGGTATTTGGCTCACTTGAATTGGAGGAGGGTGTCCATGGGGTAACCAGCAATTTCTGATATGAAAAGGCAAGTACTGTTTTGGAGAAAACCCATATATTTACCCTTCTCTTCCCCACATTAGATGGAAGCTCTGTAAATTTCTCCCCTTCACAGGTGTGATGGTGCCACAGTTGTTGCAGAATGGTAGATCCTGACATGATGGGGTCTCCGGGCTAGGCAGCTAAAATGGAAAAGCCATTTGAGTGGAGCTGCTGAGATCTGATGGGCTTGCACTTTTCTTGGCCACCCCAAGAGCAGAATAAATGCCCCATGCAGAACCAGGCAAAGCTCCTTTCCTTGTCTAATCAGCTCACTGACTTCAGTGCTTAATGAGAATGGCATTTTAAATATTGAATTTGACACAACGGAACCCAATCTAAGTTGGTTTCCCACCTCTGACAAAAGCCGCTACTTGGTCTTCAGAGGAAGGTGGAAACTCCCATGTGTATCTGAAGTTTTGGGCAAATAGGGAGCATCATCTCCTTGGGAAGACTGGGATGTATTGAATGCACCCAGAAGTAAGAGTCCGGGTGGCATGGGTGGGTATTTACTAGAGGGGAATTGTATTCTTCTGCAGGGTGGGTAGAGGGAGCTTTCCCAGACAAGGCTGCACCTTTTGTCTTTGCTGCATATTGTTAATCTGCTGTGTTGGGGTGACTGTAAGAAAGAAGGGAACCGGACGTTGGCGTCTGAATGTAATAGAAGCTACTAGATATGGGACTCTAAGATGTCTGGCTTGTCAAGGTCTCCTCTTTGCATTCTGGGTTTAAAAAAAACCAAAACCCTGTATCTCCCATTCTCTGGGCAGTTCTTGGGAACTCATTTTCTCCACTCTTCACCCTGAGCTCTGCTAGTGCGCCTTGGTTCTGACCTACAACTCCAGTCTTGAGCAGCCATATATACTAATCTCTCACCTTTTCCCAGCACTCTGTTCTGGCCTTACTGAATGGAGCTGGCATATAGGTGAGGCGCTGATAATTATACAAAGACTTTGCAGGGATGGGAGGATATATATAGGCCCAGTGGACTCTCGTAGGAGTCCTGCCTTCCAATCTGGGGTGAGCCACTGACCTGCTGTGTATTTTCAGGGGATGGCAGAGTGTCTCCGCATCCCCTATACTTCAGTCCACCTCTCTTCCCATCCCAGCTGGGGTGGAGCTAAGCAGCTTTCCCTCCTTTAGGCAAATGGGTGCTGTCAGCGCTGCATGTTCCTGAAGGCTTAAATTCCCTACCCTGCCTGTGCCGTTAAGGGAAGTTTCAAGCAATTTGCAGTGTTCCCAACAGTCAGTCTAACTTCCTTCGTGGACTAGATAGTACTGGGAATGGAAGGGGAGACTCCCCCTGGATATCTGAACTACAGCACAGGTTGGGATGGGGAGCAGCAGGTCTGGCCGGGAGTCATTTCTCCGCACTCCCACTCTCCGCACCACCCTTTGGTGTCTGGATGTGGTAGGTGGGAGGAGAAGGTGGTGAAGCCAGATGGGGTGGCCCTTTTCACCAGCGAGGTGTGGAATTCCAGTTCCATAGCCAGGGCTTGGGCAGGGAGGCGTAACAAACCAAGAATGGGTGTCTGGCTAAGTGCTCCATGTCTGTCTGGAGGAGGGTGTGTTCTTTCCTCACCCTGACCCCTCTAACTCTGAGGCCTTGCACTGTTTGGCCTGATGCATCCTTTGCTCCAGTGTTGCTTGCTTTGCTGCTTTCTGGATTGCCCAATAATCATGCAAGAGCTGGGATCGTATATACTTTTTATATGAATATATATCTAGATATTTTTTAAAAATCCCCCCCCACTTAACCCATCCCAATCCTTGTATCAAATGCAGCATATTTC